TAAATCTAACCTTTGTATAATAATTATACTATAGTGTACTATGCGGAGCTCTACTAATTGATTACTAGTGTGAACAGAGCTTTAGGCTTTGTGACTTGATATGATAGTAAAAGCCCTGTCCAGACTATCAAATTCTATTTGACAGAAACATGTGACATGCCTTAATACTATATGGTCATGACATCACATCATGACCATATATAGGCACATCACAACTATATATGGGCATAATCTGGAGAGAGCTTAAGATTTCAAATTCACAGAAACCATTCTGTGATACATACTGTATATATTAGTAAAATATAGAAAACCTTCAAAAATATAAATACAACAATGAATTGCTAACTTAAAATTATCAACTTTTAACTTAAAGAGACACAGTTCTAAACACTTTAATTCCTGCTGAATTATATTTATTTAATTACTTAATTATTTATTCAGGTATATAATTTACAGTCAACAGTGAATAGCTGAATTTGATTGCATTACAATACAAAAACATATAAATACATGTAATAAAGAGTGATTGAGACTGATTGCTACATAAATTTAAATTAAAACAATTACCAATTACAATTACCCATTTTTATATAATTATATTTCTTTCTACTGCAGTATTTTTCATGCTATATCACAGTAATCAAGTTTATACTGTTTTGTTATTGTTGCACATCTTTTACGGTTGTGGCTCTGTTATAAAAGAGAAGCAATAAAGTTACTTACAGTACTTACCTTTTAACAAAGACTTAAATAATTGCAATTAAAAGTTGGAAGTAAATATTTGAATAGTTTCATGTGGTTTGCTTATGATTGTAGAACTGCTTAATCGATAATAAACCAAGCACATAGCCTGACAAGATAGACGAAAGCTCACAGTAAATTTACATCAAATTGTGCTTGGTTTATCATTGATTAAACAGTTCTACATTATAAGTTAAGTATTATTATTTGCAATGAAAAAATATAAATTCTAAGTATCAAAAATATAAATTGTTAGTTACACACATTATTAATTTACTTACACAATTCATCAAAATTACATATTATTAATATATTTTATACTACAGTATTTATTCAAATTCAAATGTAATTTCTCCTGTCTGTCTTTTTAATTTGAATGTCCTTTCAATGCAATTCAATTCATTTATTCGATCAATAATCAACAAACCGTAGACATAAAATTCAAAGGGGAACAAGGACGAAAAAGAAAAATGGAAAACTATAAAAAAATTCTTGAGAAAATTGTTTATAATTATATAAAATATGAGAAAGGAGTACAAGACTGAACCATTTATTATAATAATTATTAATTAATTCTTTCCAACATTGTTTCTGTTTAAAAAGTTTATAAAAGTTAGTCTTGATAAAATTGTTTTGAAGAAGGATTTTAAAATTGATTAAAAGGTTAATTTAAAGGTCTATGCAAATAATATGAGAAATATTATTTATGCACTTGTTAATTAATGAGGAAGATAATTTATTGCTCTGAAAACTAATAATAATTCAAAAATATGCAAAAAAACTACTGCAATTTATTAATTATCATTGTTATTAACGTTGTATTTTTTTCACTCATCACAGATGGTATGTTTAAGCATTCATAATGGACTTTATTCTGTAATATGGAAAGCATCAAATTTGTTTTTAGCAAAGCCTACACAAAGAGGAATTTAAATATTGTAAAAGCACACAGCTCCCTCTAGAGTATCACACTGTCACAGCCAACCAAATTTGGTGCACTATTATTTTGCTGTTATTTATTTTTTGAACTACTGCAAAGATTAAATGCAAAATATGAGATTATTATGTCCTAGAATTTAAGTACTATTTACAGAATAAATTCTGGAGACTTAAAACTGCCAGGTTTCCCTCATTCAGTACTAATGACATTTCTCATGCCCAGGCTTGCCATAAGAACTTAAGAAATAAACCACATGTTCTCAAATTAATTTATTAAGCCCAATTTTATTCAGGCATATGTTGTTGAATTGTTTTTTGGTCACATCCTAATTTCATGTTCATTAATTCTAGTAATTTATATATTAAGGATGTTAAAGAATCTGTTTTCTTCCTTTTAATATGTAGATGAATTTATAGTGATCCACATTGTTTAATTGATTCATTTGGTGTTGAACCTGGTTAAGAAGCAAGTTTTAAAATTTATAGTTTTATTAAAACAATGATACTAAGAATGAATCACTCTTGGGTTTCTTGGTTATTAACAAGGAAATTGGATATATAAGATTTTATCCAATGTGACATGTTCATGAATAGATAATTTCATTATTGTCACATGTATGAAAATTGTAATTGACAATCTAACAATCCAGTGGTGGCGCCAGAGGGGGCTGGGGGGCTATAGATCCCCCGCATCCCCCCTTTTCGCCCCTCCGACGGGCAGGTCCTGGCGCCACCACTGTAACAATCACAGATGTTATAGAGATATACCAACGACATACTGTACACCAAAGTGATACTGTTTGACCATGGTACAGTATGACCATAATAAAAAAGTGATAACTCTGCGAAACCATGCGTTTCTGGTTAATTGTTCGTTTCAGTTATCTTTTCATAGAATTCCCTACACTAAAAGAGGAAATTTGAATTGTTATTAATATCACTCTTGATAATAAAATCCACCACAATAAAAGGCGAAGGAAGGTAGATAAAGTTATTTGTGTAATATATTTAGATTGGGAAAATACCACTTGCCTTTAATTAATTAAATGACGCATTACTAGCACGAGGTCAATGTGTTTTAATAATATCTGCGATAATGTAATTCTTTCATTTTATGGTTGTGATCTTGTACAGTAGCACACTTTGGGATGACCTGTATAAAGCCCTCTGGTGGGATTCAAGGGTAGAACATTAGCTAGGTCACAGGGTAGGGGAAACGAACCCTGAGATTAAGCATTGAAGCTCTGTCCAGACTATCAAATTGTGTTTGACAAAAACATGTGACATGCCTAAATATGGTCATGATGACATCATATCATGACCATAAATAGGCACATCATGACCATATATAGGCACATCATGACTATATATGGGCATACAATAGTTTTTTCTCAAAGAAAATTTGATAGTGTGGACAGAGCTATAGTGGTGAATGTCATAATCATTTTGATGGAATTGATGCAAGGATTGTTATCAGACTGTTACACTGTGTATATCTATATCATTATCATTCCATAATTAGTATTTAGTATTTCTGTTATTTGTATGGTGGTATAGTACATATTAAATGAGCACGTATTGGCTCTGCATACATTGTCTGTACAGAGTATCCAGTATAATGTTTTTTCCTTGTGTGCTACTAGTAGCTTGGTTATTAAAGAAGGAAGTTAGAATTTATATTAATGCTTGCGGTACACCACATAAACAGTTATGAAAAGAACTGTTGAATATATTTGACGTTTCGATTGAGTTGCTTCAATCTTCAGGAGAAAAATATCTATTAAGTTTTTTATCAAGATATTTATCAAGTACTTGTCAATTGTAGTCCTTCCCCCCCTCACTCCCCCCGACCTTATGGGGACTTAGCCGAGGATGTAATTTACGCAACAGTTATGTGCATGTGAAAGTCCTGGTCAGCTCCCGGCTAAGTCCCGACCCCTACAGAGGGCCAAATATTTTGTAGTCCCGGTAAAATTCCCCCCTGATTGGATAAGCCACTGTAGAAAACATACTGAGCGATACAAAAAACAATTTGAAGGTCTAGCCTATGTCTGAATTGGAGAAGCATGTGAGAGCTACACCAAGGGGATGAGCTTGCTTGATGGAAGCACTTCGTATGCGCATTTCTAAGATTTCCATGAAAGTTTGGAAAAGTGCATATTGATTGATCATAGAAAAAGAAAACATTGATTGATTTAACTGATCGATAGAATTTATTCAGTATATTAAAACAGAAATTGAATAAGAAAATTAGAAGTACAAACAGATTTCCTTGTCTTGGCTCACTACTGGTATATTTTTTGACACAAAGTAGGTCAAATACAGTTTGTGTTTACAAATTTAAAAAAAAATGTGAGTGAATTTATGTTTATTTTTTACCAGATGCCCTATAGTCTACAGTTGTTGTCTGATATAAGATATTGCCATTCATAGGCCTCTGTGGGTTATTTTGATTCCATCTGATGAGTTTTAAAAAATAAATACATTTTTTTAAAAACTTTTTTCACCCGCACCTATTCATTTTTTTTTTAAAGCCCCATTCCCGGCAAAATTTCACTAAAAACTGACTTTTTTTAGAAAATATGCATTTGCATTACTCCAATTATTATAAATCATGGAAAAATATTGGCATGAATTTTAGTTTTACCCAAAAAAAAAAAAAAAAAAGAGAAATACAGACTATTTCTCATAAAATA